GACATACAGTAATGACCTTCACAAATGACTGACACATAAATTAGAAAGCATATTAGATTATTTTCAGGAAGAAATAAAATTAACAGGTCAAAGAGAATATTATATAGATTTAAAGATGCACTGCAGTGTGCATAGACAAGTAGTTTACAAGTGTGCAAATAGGATAGGGTCAGTCAAAATTTCTTAGAGATTTGTATAATTTGGCTTTGAAACCTGGATATCCTCTTTCTCTGGTTAGGCTCAGAAAATGCAGAACATTCATCTGAGACACACACTTCTCTTAATGGTGCTAGAAACACTGTCCAATTCTCAGATTTCTGTTCCACTTTAATCCAATTTACTCCTGAATTCTTTCTGCATGTAATATATATGATACAGATTCTTTTCATATCCTGATACTGTGCCTTAGTTAATTTTCAGTTCTCCACTTATTTTTAAAGCATTTTTAAGGACAGGTAGCGACTGTAGATAGCTACATCAGTCACTGTGTACTCTTTATTCCTTTAATTTGCAAAGATCAACATTGTCTCTATAGCAGATGATCATTTACAGTGATACAGATAAGACCCGATGTGCTGAGCATCACAGGGTCTTAGGACTATGTCTTAGGCAGTACATACCGTACAGCACTATTGCAGTGAAGACATTTTGCAACAGGGTGGTAACTCTGGTTGGGATGAAGGAAGAGGAACTGAAAGTTTAAAAAATGGCATGGGATATGAAAGCAGGCTAATTATTTTGCAAAGCAATAATAGAAGTCTCTCTTCTTGCTCTTGACCTCACAGTGGTAAAGCTGAACTCACTCGACACACAAAGTAGAGTTCATTCATTCTGGGAAGGGCATAAATTACTAGGTAGGCAAATCAGGGAGGTTTCAGATTCCCTAGAGCAGATGTGCTGAGTGAATTTGGTCTGATTTTCCCTGGCTTGAAGAACACAGGACTACCTTCCTTCCTTCCTTTCTTCCTTTCTTTCTTCCTTCCTTCCTTCCTTCCTTCTTTCCTTCCTTCCTTCCTTCCTTCCTTCCTTTCTTCCTTCCTTTCTTCCTTTCTTTCTTTCTTTCTTTCTTTCTTTCTTTCTTTCTTTCTTTCTTTCTTTCTTTCTTTCTTTCTTTCTTTCTTTCTTGCGTGTGCGTGTATGTGACTTTATTTTGCGATATTAGTCAAAGCAGAGCCTGGAGGCCCCGAGAGAGCTAATAATGGCCCATTGTAGTGTTCTGATTTAACCATCAGAACACACTTGCTTGTAGCTCCTAAGTTCAAGAAAGTCACATTTACAATATCCTCCATTAGGCTGATCTTAAGAGTGTTTCAAAGCCTGTCTTTTAAATAGATTCTTCTGGATCATTGTCTTTACAGTGCTATTTATAATATGCAAATGTTAAAGCAAGCACAAGCACATGTTCGAATTACAAGCCCTGGTAGAAGGGAGGACACTCTATTCCTAGCACCCTTTGACGATGCTGGGCCTGTCAAGGACGCAGCTGAAAGGCTCCTGCGCTCTGCTACTATTATCATCCTCAAAAGCTCACAAAATTATCTCTGTATTGTAGCTGTGGGAGGAAAGGTAATTTAGCTTTTAGGGAAACAGTACAGCAATGGATTCATCAAAAGGTAAAGATTCTTACACAATAAAAATATAGCATAGGTGTAAATAAATTATACAAAAATAAATTTGCCTAAGGTGTCACTAGTTGTCTAAAAAATAAGTAATAAAATCATCAAAGATGCTTATAATAATTGCCCTAAGTACATTAAAAGCTTTTTTTCTTTATTCCTAAATTTATGATTTTTAAAAGTATTGTCCTAAAGGCATCATTTTTATGATATCAAGAATGAAAAAGATAGGAGGTTATCAGCTAAACAGCAGAGGTTCTACTTAGCCTGCTGCAAGCAGGTGACAGATGAGGTTGTCAGATCTGGTAGCAGATTACTGGACAGACTGTTGAATTTTGCTTCCTATGGTGATCTTTTACATTTGACAAATTCTTCCCCATCTCAAGATGATTTAAGCATACAGTTATGAAGGAGATCAGAGCTTTTAAATCAAAGTTGAAAATTGTCTTTACTGCCAGGAGTACAAGTATCTTGCAATGAATGTACACACAAATAAGTAGGTGGATTGTGTGCCTGTTTGAATGTATTTGCTCTCTGGCAATCTCTTCTGGGAAAGTAAAATACTAGAAAAAAGGGAGAATTGGGAAAGCTGAAGTTGGCCCAGTGTCATAATTCTTTCTGTTACTCTCCAGTCTTCTGAGTCTGTTCATTATACCCAGGTTTCTTACTCTGGAATGGAAACTTGTATGAGAAGAGATCACAACCTCATTTTTCTGTTTATCTATCTCAGCTGTCTGGGAAGTACCTAGTACATAGTAAGCCCTCAGTTTATATTTATTGAATTAAAAAATCCACAAAATTATATTAATGAGAGCAATGACTTTATATTTGGAGTGAGTGTTTTATGAGGGGCAGGGAATGAGACAAAACAATTTAAAACCTCTTAAAAAAATATTCTTATGTAAATCCAAAGTGATGGTATAATCCAGTAGTCATGAACCTACAGCACACGAGCCACAGAGTGTTTATATTGCTGAAAGCTCTGAAAGGTCCACCACCACTGTTAGTCTCTTTATTTTATTGCTTACACAGCCATCCAAATCAAAGTCACCTCAGAAGTCAGCAGGACTTGATGTCTGTTCAGAACTGGTCTGATACCAAGTCTCAGATTTATTGATCAGCCTTACTGTGGCCTTCGCTCTGCACTGTCATGGTGGCAAAAAGCCTAGGATCACAAATCCCAGTTTTAGGACTAGTTAAAAGGCCTTGGCCATGTAATTTAACCTTTGAGGATTTGATTTCCTAAAAATGGGACCACAAAGAATAACACTGTCAGGAGTTGGAGAGATTACATGCAATAATTGATATAAAGATCATTGCATGGTACGTCGTGTGTGAAGCACCCCGTAAATGTTAACTTGCTCTGCCTCGCCAGCCAAGAATGTCTGTTCAGTGCATTGTTTCTTTCTGGCTGTTTTTCTGTTTCAGTCTGTGTATTAGTTTCCTGAAAATGCCATTTTAAAAGTACCTCAGACTGCCTTGGAACATGTCCAATCTCCTCTCACAATTCTGGAGGCTAGAATGCCAGGATCAAGGTGGTGTTAGCACTCTGCTTCCTCTGAAACCTGCGGAGAGGGCTTTACCTTACATACTTTTAGTTCTAAGAGCCCCGACCTCCCTTGGCACCATAGATTATGTCTACACTCTTCTCTCTGTCTTTTTGTATCTTCTTCCCTCTCTCCATGTCTGAGTCCAAATTTTACCTTTGATAAGTCATATTGAGTTAGTACTTACCCCAATGACCCCCCCAGCGACTTGATTACATTTGTGATTACACTATTTCTTAATGTGATTGAGGTACTAGAGGTTAGAACTTCAGCATATTTAGGGAAAGAAAGGGGTACATTTCAATCCAAAGTAACACAATTCTACTTCTTTCTCTGATTACATAGGCCTTTCCTTTTATACAGTGTCAGATTCAGAATTTTAGACGTAAGGGTCACTCACCCAATAATTATCTGTATACAAAAAAAAAAAAATCCTCCAACCCCTAAGGTTATTTCACTATAATAATTGGACCAAATCAGTTAATGTCTACCAGGTATCCCATCTCCAAAAGTTCATGCCAATAATTTGAGATTTTCTTTTCTCAACCATAATGAATACCTCAACTCTCATTGAAAATGCTTTGTGCATTTTCCTGTCACTGTAATTAATAATAAAGATTCTGATCACCATAGAAATTCTGCAAATAATAGATACGTTAATTAGCTTAAGTCCAGAATTCCACAATGAATACATATGACAAAATATTGTTGTTATACACCATAAAAATATATGTAATTTTAATAAAAAAGCAAATAAAAAATTCTGAAACATCATTTTCAGTTATCTCAATCCTTGGATTAAAGTCCTACTGTTCATAATGCTAGTTAGTGGGATATTCCTTTTTGTCAAATGAAAACTTTGCTATATTTAAATTGTTAAAAATATGTGAATGGTGTCAGTAAGTCATTTTTTGCTCTTTTCAGGTTTTTTTTTTTTTTTTGTTTTTGGAATGATTCCCAATATTGCAAGCAATATATTTGTATTAACATATAATGATTATAGCTATTTATGAGGTAAAGCATGACAATTCAATACGTGCACACAATGTGGAATGGCCAGATCATAGTAATTGATATTTCCATCTTTGTAAGCATTTATAATTTCTTTCTCTGGGACTGTTCAGCTCCTCTTGTCTAATTCCTTATAAAGTATATGACAAATTGTTGTGATTATAATCATACTACTATGCTGTAGAACATCAGCACTTATTTATCTGTTATTTTGGTGAACAGTCAATTTTGTAAATGCCAAGTATTTGCTTATTGAAATAAGGTGTAAAGGTTAATGCTATGTTTCTTTTCTAACTGTAGTATAATTCAACTTGCGTAAAAATATCGAACTATAGTATAAATCAACCTGTGTAAAAACAACTCAAAGGTGTAGGAGATATAAGACATCCTTTTACAGAAATAAGAACCAAATATGAGGGTTTGTGTTATATACCTTTTCCAATTGTAGGACAATGCAACTTGTTTGAAAATCATAAAGAGCAAAGCTTAAAGAATTAGGAGAAATGAAAAATTAAATTCCACCACTTATTCACAAAAAACTGGCAACTTTCCTGAAAATCTGATTAGACCACCATTATGGAAGCATTTAAAAATCTACTCTGACAACAGCTAGGAAAAAAACATGTAAGAAGGGAAATTTAATGAACCTTTTGCCAACTCTGGAATGTAACATTTTAAAGTTCACAGGGGCCAAAATGTGCTGTCCACAGATAGCCTTGAGATCACCCTGAGTACTGCTTGAGGAAAATGAGCATCTTCTTGTCCTCGCCTGAGAACTGCTGCCCTGCTGCCCGTGTGCTCACTGAATTGTTTCCTTCCCTTTCAGCGTCCTCCATTCTCAAGAGGGAGAAGCGTTTGAGGACAAAGAATGTGCATTTCAGTTGTGTCACCGTGTACTACTTCACCAGGAGGCAGGGCTTCACGAGCGTGCCCAGCCAGGGGGGCAGCACGCTGGGCATGTCCAGCCGCCACAACAGTGTGCGCCAGTACACCCTGGGTGAGTTCGCCAGGGAGCAGGAGCGGCTGCACCGGGAGATGCTGAGAGAACACCTCAGGGAAGAGAAGCTGAACTCTCTAAAACTAAAGGTAAAAATCATGAACTTGCTTTTTGCAAAGCCCCATATCCTTACAGTAATTTGAATGGATAATCTTTACACTTACACTCACAAATCAAACTGTGCATTTTATATGTTTTTTTAAAAGCAAAACAGTGTCTTCCGTGGATACGTGCCTCGCATCACTGACTCATCCATCCTATAAATCTTTACTGTTGAATATTTCTAGATTTTGCACCCTCTGCTTGGACCAGAACAAGCAGGTCACCAAAAATAGATGTGACTCCCTCTCCACAGGAGAGGAAATGGCTACTTCTCTGCAGATTAATTGGAAAGAAAATATTGATCAAGTTGTCAGACAAAATAAAATCAAAACTTTGTTCAGTACTGTGAAGGACAGTTACAAGGTGTTATGAAAGTGTATGAGAGCAATTGATGTGCTGCAGGAGGTCAAGGAATGTTTCCTTTAGGAAGGGGAATAAAGATCTAAAGAGGTAACCAGGCAAAGACCATTGGCAAGAGTGTTTCAGGCATCAGGCAAAACCACAGCTGCCTTGTGTCAAGAGCAGCTGTGAACGCAAATGTAAGTTTGGTTGGAGCAGAAGCAAGAAGAGTAAAAGTGAGGTGCAGGAGTCAGGCGGTAAACCACATCAAGATACTTTTTCTCCTGTATACTAAGGGTATCAGACACCACCAAGGATTTCAAGCGCGGGATGGTAACATAATATTATCTATTTGAAGCACTGCATGGAAATATTCGAGGCAAGGAGAGTTACAGTGGTGGAGGGCACACACAGTTGGATGTGGTGTGAGGCTATCACACGAGTCCATGAGAGAGGTGCCCAAAAAAGGTTGGACTGACAGTAGGGGAGATGACGGAGAGACGAAGAAATTTATTAAGTGAAACCAACAGTGCTAGATGATGGGTTGGATTTGGAAGGAAGAGAATGGGATAGTCAGGAATGACACCTAAATTTCTTGCTTGCAAAACTATACTGTCATAGGTAATAACCTCGTCTGCTGTCACAGGAAATGGCAAGGAGCACAAGAAGAAGTGCAAACTGGGGGTGAAAGGTTGTTGATGAGCTATTTTTCAGAATACGGACTTTGAGGGGTTTTTGAATTCTTCATTAAGAGATGACAGGAAGGTTACCTAGGTGGACATGGCTTTAGAGATTAAGCAAAGAGAAATACAGTGTAGAAAATCTACACTGAGTTCTGACTGAACAGTCTTTTTATTTTTATTGCTGTCTTGCCATACCAGTATGTAGGAAATATTCTTTCTTAATGACAAAGAAAATGTATTTTAGGTATTCCAGGTACTTAACCTAAAGTATCATTCAATAATTACCTGAAATACCAAAAGAACTCCCGTGCTACTAGAGTCTTTCACTCATGAAATCAGTCTGAAGAGGTATGATATGTTTCAGACTCCTACATTTTATATATTTTATGATTTATGTGTGTGCCTTATTCTGTTTCATGATAAGGCAGTCACTTAAATTGTACAAAGCATGGCATAGTGGTGCACACCTGTAATCCCAACACTGGGAGGCTGAAGCAGGAAGATCGTTGCAAGTTCAAGACCAGCCTGCGTTACACAGTGAGCTCAAGGCCAGCCTGAACTGCATAGCAAGAACCTGTCTCAAAAAGACAATAAGAAAATAAATGAAGCAATAAATAAATAAATAAGGTGTACAGTCTGTCCTAGAACAAGTCTCATTTTTCATTTGCCAGTATTTTGGTAAGTTTTATAGAAAGCCTATTAAATTTTTCCAGTAGCAATTCACTATTACAGTTGTTTTTATGATTGCTTTTTATGTAGTTTAAATTAATAATAATTATCAAATTTCTTTCTGAAATCTATCCACTGGAAGCCATCTCCAGTCTTTACTCAAAGACTGACATCATTCTCCACGTCCAAATATTGCTGGAACAATAGCAGTGGCTGCCAGTCATTGATTTTATAAACAATATTTGATCCTTACAGAAACCCAGTGGGATAGGTGAAGTAGCAGAGCATGTTTACAGCTGAGAAAGAAGACGCACAAAGATGTGCTACGCCTGGCACTGTAAAGCTATCTGAGAACCAGCAGATATACTGTCGGGAATTTTGAGGCACATTGTGTATGTGCTGAGTGTTAGGGAAAGCCAAAGACCAGCAGCATTTCTCCGTACGTGACAAAGATGTGGCCTACTACTGTTATTTGTATCCAATGCTTTTGTTTTATTTTGTTTTGTTGGATACTGAGGATTGAACATAGGGCCTTAGCACTGAGCTACATCGTTACTCTTTTTTTAACTTTTAAAACTTTGATACCAGGTCTTAGTTGGCAGGTTATGCAAAATGGGCTCAAACTTGCAATCCTCCTGCTCAGCCTCCCAGAGTACTGGGATTGAAGGTGTTTGTCACCACTTCTGATTTCCTTCTGGTGTATGCTTGCATTCTCTCTCTTTCTATCTGTCTTTCTCTGTCTCCCTTTCTCTCTAGCAAGCTAAACAAGAAAAGAAGGAAGACAACAGGAATGCTTTCATACTGATTCATTTTTAAAATTGTATTATTGGAAGTTGGAGATAGTCATCAGGGTAGATATTATATTTGGTTTGTTATTAGCCTGTGATAGTGCACAGTTTTCTCTTGGGTGGATGTACAAACAATCCAACAGTTATCTTTGCTACTTCTCAGTGATAATGGATATGCGAAAGGACAACAAGATTCTGAGGTCATCTGAACTCACTGTACCTAACGTAGCCATTGACATGTGTTACAGAAAGTCAACAGACCACAATAATGTGGGCCAGTTCTCTACAAACTCCAAGAGGAATTAATGGAGAAAACCTGTGTATTTTAAATGTAATTTTTCTAGTATGTTAACATCTATTGTTTTTAAAATACCATTGATTATAATCACTTAAGGCTTAATCATTCAGCTCCAAAATTAGCTGGCAAACATGAGCCATCTGAAACTTTGACCCTGATACATGAAATTTCACTTTTAGTATGACATTTGTTCTGAAGCGTAAATTCTTATGGGGATAATCAACAAAAGCTGAATTGATTCTATTTTTTAAGAGAACAAAACCAAACAAAACAGAACAGAATAAAGCCAATCAAAACAAAACAGCAAAAGTGATAGAGGACCTTGAAACAGGATAATAGGCTATCATCCTTCGCTACCATATTGCCTCTTGTTATTTTCAAAATTGCTGCCCAATAAAATCAAACAAAACAGAACAGAATAAAAACAGTCAAAACAAAAAATTGAATAAAACAAAACAGTAAAATGGAGCAAAACAAAAACAACATTATTGGATTTCAAAAACATGACAGAAGAAAATCCTCATAGTTGCTGTGTTGCATGTTGTTATCCTCTAAATAGATGCTCAGACTATGGCTTTAGGCTTGTAAAGTCAATTAAGTAACATAAGCATTAAGTTATTGTACCTCAGTTGCTATGGACTCAGTGTGTTTTCCTGTGAGTGAGCCGGTTGTTTAGGAGGGTGGCGGGGCTCAGCTCCTGTCTCCCAGCCCCGTGCACCAGCTGGCTCATGGGAAGGGCCCTTCCTGCTTCTTCTCTGGGCCTACAATTAGCTGGCACACGGAAAGGGCACATCTTCTTTCTCCTCCAGGTCCACCTTGATTCAATTATTTTAAGTGGGTAGAAGAGGGATCCAGAAAGGAAAGGAAGGATTGCTATAGCCAATCTTTTCTCACTTGGATTTTGCCTGAGATGGTCACCAGGGAATGGCAACAAACTGCCTTTTGGATGAGGATGAGGACAGAAAGACCACCTGACACGATGGACATCTCCAAAGCCCTTTTTCAGGGAGACCAGGTGAAATACGAGCTGAAGTGCACTGGACCTGGAGTTGGGTACTTTTCCCTCACTTATTTCAGAACACTTATTTCAGAAAAAGAGAAGAGAGATTACTTTCTCACTACACCTCCAGATTTTCCCAAGGCTTCTCTACTGAGTTCTAATGAGGAGAGTATTTATAGTGCAGGTCCTCTCCTAATGGGAGAGAAATATGACTAAAAGCAACACATGTCCACTTCTAGATGTATCCTTATATATTCCTTATAATAAATATTTTGAAGCAAATTAACAGAAAATTAGAAAAATATCCTTATAAAATCATTTCTTTATATAATTTTTCTTCTAAGTTATGTTACATAAACACTGAGAAATACTGTATAAATTAGATTTGTAGAACAAATCCAATACCATTGGGGGAGTTCAATGTGTCTTTGTAGTTGGTGGTGTGGATGCTTTAAATATTTTTACCACCATGTAATGAAGGAAACTGATTGAATAAAACACATGTTCCTAGAAGAAATAACTAGCTTTAGATTTCTTAATTGTAGAGCAGAGTCTTTTTTCTCTGTCAAGCCCATTCAAACATGTCATACACTCCACCGTAATCAATGGAGTAATCTTAATACTATGCTCTTTTCCAAATTAACTACTTAGACTTCATCATCTGCATCACACTGTTGAGCAGTTATGTTAGATCGTGTTCCCATTCCCCTTGTATCTGTAAAGCCCCTTAAGCAGCCATGCATATGTCCCGTTCTATCAAGCCATGGTAGTCCACCCACCTCTGGGCTCTATCCTCCTGGACTCCCCTGCCTGGCAGAGCGTATTTAATCTAGCTAGCACAGCTTTCACTCGTCTCTCTCGATATTTTCACGAGCATGCTTGTTCTTCCTGTCCTCTCTCAAATCAAGGATCCTCCTCTACTTCTGTCACTATTTCCAGTCACATTCTATGGCCATTCACTTTGGTGAGTTTCTGAGTCATATTCCTTCAGTAATTCTTGAGTTTTAGCTCTCGTTTTCTTATAAAAACAAAAAAGAATGATCCACTTTCAACTCATCTTTTAATGAATAACATTTTTAAATCCCTATGCAAATATTTTTCACCTCAAATCTCAGATTTATGACCATTTTATGTATTTAGTGACTTTCCTGTAAAACAGTATTTTCCACTTCCTCTTTACCCTCGCCTCTTGTATCTCTTCAAAAGTCTT